CCCCCCCCCCCCTGTTTACCAACTCCTAAAAGAAAAAATGGCAAAGAAAAGAAAACATTACAAATCAAAACAGAACAAAACGAAACCAACCCCCCCCCAACAAAAACAAATATGTCACTTCATGAGTAATTTCTTGTGGGTGGTTGGCGGGAGCTCTGGTGTGGTTTACTTCTTCTTTCCTATCACACATCTATCATACTTATCTCCCCTCCTTCTTTTTTTTGTTTGTTACTCTCTTGTAACACTTCAAATTTTCGGCACTTATATGACCTTATTGTGTTGCAAGTGCCGTAAAACTCTTACAAAAACTAAACTAAACTAAGAGTAATTTCTTTTTGTGAGGGCAAATTCTTTTACTTCTAGATCAATGCTTGCCCAGGCAGTGGCTACAGAAAGGTTGGCAGTAAATATCGTCCTAAAACAATAAATTCGTTGCTGTCTTCATCTTTGTGACTGGACAGGTCAGAAATAGTAAAAGATGCACTTGCCGAAGAAAGATGGCTGTCTTATAATACCATTTTGTACCTGTTAAAAGATCATAATACATATCATTTTCCCTCGAAATAAACTCAGCACGGGTTTCTTTAATAACGAATTCGGGATACGAACAGTTAGGGACATCTCTTAATTTCATCAGTGTTAAATCGCCTTACCAGAGAGAATTTTATTTGCGGCAATTTCAGGAACTGAGAAGGAGAGTGTGCAGTAAATTATGTCTCTTGACTTGCATGGCAGAAGAAAGAAAAAAGCCTGAAATACAATTTTAATTCCCAAAGGCAATAATTGTATAATTAGTTTATTAAACTGCTTGGGACAACTTTTGAAGGTGCTGTCCGCGAAGACTTTCAGTTTATATTAAAAGGAGCTGGAATTGTACAAGCAAACACTTTCCTATTGCTGGGTACCCATTTCATCTGGGTGAAGTGAGATTCATTTGTGTAAAGTGTTTTTCTCAAGGATCCGGCGTCGCAACCTCACGATTACCAGTCCGGTAGCCTGACCACTTATCATAGTAGTAATAATAATAACAGTGATAATAATAATAAT